GACATGTACCTTGACTCTTGGGAGAACAGTACTGGGACATGCACCTTGACTCTTGGGAGAACAGTACTTGGACATGCACGTTGACTCTTGGGTGATCAGTACTGGGACATGTACCCTGACTCTTGGGAAAACACTACTGGGACATGCACCTTGACTCTTGGGAGAACAGTACTGGGACATGTACCTTGACTCTTGGGGAGAACAGTACTGGGACATGTACCTTGACTCTTGGGAGAACAGTACTGGGACATGTACCTTGACTCTTGGGAGAACAGTACTGGGACATGCACCTTGACTCTTGGTAGAACAGTACTGGGACATGCACCTTGGCACTTGAGAGAACAGTACTGGGACATGTACCTTGACTTTTGGTTGAACAATACTGGGACATGTACCTTGACTCTTGGGTGAATAGTACTGGGACATGTACCTTGACTCTTGGGAGAACAGTACTGGGACATGTACCTTGACTCTTTGGTGATCAGTACTTGGACATGTACCTTGACTCTTGGGTAATCAGTACTGGGACATGTACCTCGACTCTTGAAAGAACAGTACTTGAACATGCACCTTGACTCTTGGGAGAACAGTACTGGGACATGTACCTTGACTCTTTGGTGATCAGTACTTGGACATGTACCTTGACTCTTGGGTAATCAGTACTGGGATATGTACCTTGACTCTTTGGTGATCAGTACTTGGACATGTACCTTGACTCTTTGGTGATCAGTACTGGGATATGTACCTTGACTCTTTGGTGATCAGTACTTGGACATGTACCTTGACTCTTGGGAGAACAGTACTGGGACATGCACCCTGACTCTTGGGTGAACAGTACTGGGACATGTACCTTGACTCTTGGGAGAACAGTACTGGGACATGCACCCTGACTCTTGGGTGAACAGTACTGGGACATGCACCTTGACTCTTGGGTGAATAGTACTGGGACATGCATGTTGACTCTTGGGAAAACACTACTGGGACATGTACCCTGACTCTTGGGAACAGTACTGGACATGCACCTTGACTTTTGGGAGAACAGCACTCGAACATGTACCTTGATGTAGAATGTATCATTTGAAGTCATCATTTGATGAGAAATTTCTGCTGAACTTAACTGTCAATTCAATTTTCTTTCTCTCATGCTGTAATTTAGGTACAGCAAATAATCGTAAGTGTATCTTCATGAAATGCACATGTGATTCAACGCAATGTGACTGATTTCACTGTTTGCACTCTAGTGTCAGGTGAACATCTTTGTGACGATAAGATCCTATAATTTGGCATTTCACTTTTATGAATGTGGTTATTTTGGATCTGACTTATTACAAGTCACTGCATGGAGATTTAATTCACTCAGAATGTTAGATCTAAAAGCATTTTGTTTGTTTTAGAAAATCTAAAATCTCAACTTTATAGACTTTTATTCAATTCTGAGATTACCACCTGCTTTCTGTCCCCAATAAAATTGTAAACTTTTTATGTAATGTAATTGAATTTCAATTTAATACCATGTAATTTGCAATAATTCTGGGACATGTAATTGAGATCACATATAATTAATTCCTATTGTTAGGAATAGGTGTCTAAAAAACATACTGGATTCATGCACTATGTGTGCCTTTTTACCTTTTCTGTGATGAAAATAAGGTATAGTGATTACTATGTATGTTGTCGTTGTCGTCATTGTCGTTAACAATTGTTTGCGAACAATTCACCGTGGTACCGGATATAAACAAAAACAAATGACTAGTTCATTGTGCTTTATTGATCTCCATTTACTTACATTGGTAATGGAGTTAAGGGTGGTATCTTTTTCCATAAACATTAGTACTCATTCATCTTAAAGATCTATTGAGTGGTCATCAGTAGTCATTATTGGCCTAGAGTGTAAACAGTGAAACGTTGTGTTCTTTCACCGGTTTGACTTGTTCTGACGAAACCATCAAATGAGTAGCATATCCATACAAATAGTCTTATTAGTCTGCTATCTCTCTTGTATATTACTACATTTGACAGCTTTGATAAGCTGCCACAAGAGGGCGCTCTATACAACTGAGGTATCTGGCTATAATGCTTAACCCACCTATATGCCATTTCTAGTTTGCATGGCATATTGATAAGTATGGGGTTGAGAACAGCTTCTATCCTTTGCTTAAATAGATCTACTGTTGGGGAAATTTGCTGTGTTGCTTGTGAAGTGTTAAGTTGTGTAATCTGTGTAACTAAGCCAGTGTGTGGCATGATGCATGTTTGACCCTCCGTAACCTAGCTGATCACCCCCGCATTGTATTGTTTAGCTTTCCATTATTAATAATTAACATATCCATTTGTGTATGCTTAGTTAACACCCTGCCTCACCGTAACAACTTTTGTAACCACCAACAGGCTCCTCACCAAATAGAAGTAAAAGACGTTTTTTCAGCTTTGGTAAAAAAGACAAAGAGCGTGATAAACGCCGCCATAGTTCGCACAGTGATTTAACAGATAGATCACATACCTTGCCGGCCAATCAGAGAGACAGGCTCCAAGTACCCGTGCAAAAATCAGCGAGGTCGTCTAGTGCAGGTATTAAAGCTTGAGTCTTTATTTCCTACCCCTTAGTAATAATGTGTGTGCAGTTTCAGCATTTTGGAACTTGTTCTGCTTGAGTGAGAGTAATTAATAGCATGTTTGATGTTGTATTTGTGTTATTTTTTTGTACTTTTCTGCAAAAACATTTGTACATTGTTGAAATCCTCAAAAAAAAAAAAATGAAATGTACATAAATATTCTCCAAGTGAGACTATTATCATGCATTATGGCAATGTAATTCTAATCCATTTGTAATTCACTGCCCTCTTGTGGCCTCTTTTTGCTATTCTTTTGTTTGAGGATGTCACATGTACATAATATTCTTTAGCACAAATGTAATTCCACAAACTTTGCAGACCGTTTATTTTGTAGCAATGCAGCTTCACTGTGTTTGTTATAGATAACGTGTTATCATGTTACAGTGTTAGTATTTATTTTATTGTCCACATATGTCTGTTTCCTTCTATAGTCTATAAGCAGCTCACACTGACATTTTCAGTATCTCCTTGACCAACTATTTTAATTTATGACAAATTTCAATTTTACAAGTTATTCTATAATTTATTCTATAAGTGATTCTAGATTCTTACAAAATGTTCTAAATAAAGCAGCTGTGAAAAAATGTTTATGACTTTAAGTAGGGGTATTTTATAATGCCATATTTGGCAACAAATTATTTTTACTCACCGGTAGAATAGGCATATAAATATTTTATTGGACTGTTTTCAAAATTGTCTTTTTATCCTTCTTTTTAGAGGTATTATATGAAATTTATATTTAGAATATTAAAGAACATTTGATGAATAGATTTTTCTAATTTATTGTGTCGGGTATAGTATACAGTAGTTTATACAAAAAAAAAGCAATATAAGGTAGTCAGTTAATGAATGGGTGAATATATAACTTATATTTGGGAGGTAGATTGTAACAGTCACAATAATTTGGTACTTTAATATAATTTTAGATTTACTGAATTCGAAGAATGTACTATTAGTATTTCTGTATTATCATGTAGCCTGATGTGTAGGTGGTTAACATTGTTGCCTTTACATTATTGAAGGGACATGATCTGCATTTTTAGTCATTTTTTTTTTTATCTTTGTAATACCAGTATATAAAATTACTGCCCGTCCATAAACCAGAGACGGAGAAAAATAAATACATACATACATACCCAATGTTCTGGTAACATTTTCTGATGGTCTGCATAAATACAATTTCACAAATACAATTTTACTATTTAATATTATTATATGAATTTGTATGGCATTCTCTTCTGATTGCTGTTATACAGATCATAGAAACAATTGAAAATTAAATTATTCATTTGTGTTGGCAGAATGTTTATTTTTTCTGGTGCTTTCTTGGAATGGGAACGGAAGTGTTTCTGGCAGGGCTGGTGAAATTTGAAAGTTACCTGGTGTCTAGTACAAAATTTGTTGACAATACAACTTTGAAATAAATAAATTTGAAAAAAAATGCAGCTCATGTCCCTTCAACAAATTATTTGATCAGATAACCAAAGCAATTTTTTTAAAAACTTTGTAATGCACTCAAGTTTGTACTGGTAATAGTTATTAGTGTGATAGAGTGGTTCATGTGCATTTCATTTTGTGATTGTTTGTAATTGAATAACTCCACTGTCAGGATTTTATTTTATCTGTATATGTGTTTTCTTTGTTTGTCTTTACATAATATTTTTGTTTTAAGTAAATCTCTTGAAAAATAGCACATTTTATTTATATTTTGCATTCCACTCTTTATAATCATATGTATTTTCAATATTCACTTTAAATTTCACTGACAACAAGCCATATGGCAAAGCAGCTCATCACTGCCAACTTCACAATTATTAAACACTCTTTAACAAATATGCAAATTAGCACTGCAAACAAATGTTCACAATTTAATGGTTTACAGACAATGCTTTGAGAATGTCACTGCTCTTTTCTGTCTTAATTTTCATTACTACGAAATTTTGTGAAATTCACCAAAAAATATGTCTTCACAAAATGTGATATACAGATATATCACTCAAAGGACAAAATTTTACCTTTGTTCCGTGTTTGTTGATGAACTAATCTATTTAATGTCCCTGATTCAGATAATGGCGTACTAAATATTTTGGTTAAGCAGAAACCATTTTGATACATAGTAAGTTACAACTTTAATAGAAAGAGCCTTCTGTTGCAATTATATAATTCCATAGCGCCCTCTAGTGGTACAATTTTGTCCTGTGGTCAGGGAGAAACCATTTAAGACTCGCAAGTGAGGGGGCACTAGAGAATGAAAATTATCAGTAAAAAAATAAACCCTACACCGACCAATGACATAATTATTTTACAATTTAAATTTAAATTTAAAAACCAAAATTGACATTGATTAGGTGAGAGAAAAAAATGTTTTCTTTGTTCCAGCAAAATCCCCCTCTGAATTTCTAATGGTCCAGCCCTTATGTTGCAATGTTTTATTCTTTCTTGAGTTTTAATGTCTTCCTATGCTTGTAAAATTTCTATAAATAATTGTTTTTGTCTTCTTAAAACTTTTGCCTAATTTGTTGTCAGTATTTTGATAAATATTATGTTTTGCGTAATTTGTTGTCACTTTTTAAATATCTATGCACAAATAAAGCAAATTGTTTATTTTATGTTTCAATTAATTCAGCTCCCTGTCTTATTCTGGTACTTTGCTGCTGCGCTGTTTCAAAAATACACATCAAGGAGGAATACTTAATCTAGGCTTCTGCTAACTTTTCATCAGAATTAAATTTATAATTGGCTACAAACATTTATGTCACTATTGCCACTATTGACTAGGAGTAATTGAAAATTGAAAATCATGTTGTCATCCACAAACAGCAGGAAAGAATAATGCTTGATATAAAGTGTAGCACATTTCATTTTTCCAATTTTCTGACAAATTCATGGTATTATATTTCTCATCATTTGTGAAGTGGTTAAACGGGATTGAAAATGACGGACAGCAATGAAGTATTAGTAAATGAACTAAAAATATTGTATTCATAGTGAAAGCCTGGATATGTATTTCTTTACATCTTACATAAAACTTGTGTAAAAACTACTTTATTTCCACTAAAAATTATGCTTGTGATTAAATTAAAAAAAAAACTTTTTTCAGAGTTTCCAACAATTTTTTCAACAATGAAAAACTAAATATTTTTACTCTATTTTGTGCTTCTAATATCGGAAATCTGGTACTCTTGATTTTATATCACTATCATGTTTGTATTCTTGACCTCTGAAGGTCAAACATCCAATAAATCTAAACTTGAGACAGTGCAGCACGTTATGGATTGCTTGTATGCGTATGTTGCTGTTCAATTCATCGATTCTTCTAAGTTCCCAACATGCCTGTCAATCGATTTAAACCTCTTGACAGCCATTGTGTTTTTTCTGCGATTGTATCTAAATTCTGTTAATATTTTGAGTTCAAAAAATAGCGTATGCGATGAAAATCACTATCATTTGAGCAGAAGAAATTGGGAGTGACAATGAAAAGATATCAAGTGTAAATCACTGTGTGTTGATCACTGTAGTCGTTGTTGCCGCTGACTATCCAATCAAGATTTGTAATGCCATGTGTTCCTGCAGAAGCTGTTGATGAATCAAGCTGTACACCACAACTGTAAAAGAAACCACAGAGCACCAATAAAGAACCACACCACACTGCACCGTGCCATTGCCTGCTGCTATCAGTACTAACTGATGATTGCATGCGACTCTCATCTGTTTCTTTTTCCATGAATGTCTGTATGTGCATCGTGTTGCATTTGTTAAATTTGTGCTCAATGATGTATGTTGTGTAATAAGCATGTCATCAACTCTGTAACGCATTTACCTTTAGAAATATACGGTCTGCACAAGTATTTCATTTCAATAAGTCTGTTGTCCATTTACATGCATATATAGCAGAGTCGTAACCATAGGTACATGGAATCATAACTATTTATACCTGGGGTTGTAACCATGGATACCTGGGGTTGAAACCATAGTTACCTGGGGTTGAAACCATGGCTACATGGGGTCATAACCATGGCTACATGGGGTCATAACCATGGCTACATGGGGTCATCACCATGGCTACATGGGGTCATCACCATGGCTACCTGGGGTCATAACCATGGCTACCTGGGGTCATAACCATGGCTACCTGGGGTCATAACCATGGCTACCTGAGATTGTAAACCTGAGTACATGGTTTTGTAACCATGGGTACTTGTGTCATAGCCATGGTTACCTGAGATCAATCAGTAGATTGATAGAGTGATTGAGTTGTTAGAAGTATGGTGACTTTTTTATTGAAATTTTAACTTTCTTTCTGGTGATAGAATTGCATGCAGTTCAAAAAAAAGTTTATTGCTTCTTATCTATACTCAAAGGATTGTATTTTTCTTTACTTTCAATTTCCTTCATTTTTACCATGTATATGACACATTGCCAGATCTGTTACTGACAATGCATACAAAAACACAACAGGTTTATGACTAGAGATGTATAAAAAAAATTATGTAAACAATGGTATATACAGAATTGACATTGAGACTGAGAACTTCCACTGCTATAAAAATTAATGCATGGTATGCCATATCAATTGTTGTAGAGTCTGGAGTAGAGCTGGTTGATCCAATCAGATTAAATATGAATTGTAATTAAGTTAATTGATAATTATGTATACATGACAAAAGCACAACTTTTGTGAGTTCTGCCATTGACCATCAACTAAACTGACAAACAGATGGATTACTGGATTGTTGTCTTGACAACCTGAAAGTATATGTCTAATCTTATGTGGTTGACGAGTGATTTCGACCATCTTGTCTGTAGGCTCTGATAAAGCAGCTCTTTGAGCATTCAGAATGAGTGTAGATAAAAGGCTAGAACATGCGAATATTAAAGTGTGTTTGCTTCACAGGTGACATTTCTTTGCACGCAAGTTTAGCAAATCCAGGACTGATCATTAGATATGTTAACATCACCTTGGAACCATGATAAATATCAATATAATAATAAATATTACATTGCACATGCGTAAAAATGAGAAAACTGGGCACTGTAGTTGAGATGTCAGATTAATTTACCCAGAATGCACTGGTTCTTGCTAAGCATGATATGCTAATCATGTTAATGCAGTAGTTTGTGTGTTTGTTTGTAATCGATCTCCTCGTAAAGTTCGTTGTTACTGTATGGTTACACGCTACTACGGGAAACAATGGTAACCAAGCGATGGATTCAATATGGTGGAACTTTATGTCCAATGATTGGGTGAGATGTATTCTAGAATTGTGGGTAAATTAGGATCGGTATTTCTTTATTCTTTCTTTTAGCCTTCGACAGCTTCTGGTGGTTGGACTAATACCTAAATTGTATCATATTTCGCACTCCATTTGATCAAATATTCTGAGGACACTGCACTAGGTTGCCATTTTGCTCATAAAAGAAAATTTAGGTCTCAGACCAGGATGAAATTATTTTTAGATAATAATGTATGGTTTTGAAAAGCTGAGCTATTAATGATAGATAACTAATAAACTATTTGGGAATTTAAAAGCTCTATTTTTTTTAAAATATATTTTGAAAAGTGAATGGTTCTATAATAAAAATGACAAAAAACAAATAAAAGTCAGGGTACTTGTTTATATGGAGACAGTGATTTCCATATAGTGTTAAATCCTACTTTGGTGACCATTTTGGATTTGAAAATGAGCACAATGCACACAATTATCTAATTGAGGTTCATAATTCAGGAAAGTCTCAAAAGTGTGGTAGCAGCAACTGTCCTTAACATAAACTAGGCTAGAGTTAAAAGGTTTTTTTAGTTGTAAAAGTTTACTGAATCATGACAGTGCCTAATGTTCAAAAATAAAGCCTGTAAATCACTAAAGTTCCCCTGATATTTAATAATAAATTTTGAAATAATTGCATGGATGAATGCAATTGTGGTTTGATACCTATATTCACTTAGTTTCAACATTTAACAAATTGTGCTTGATGATTGATCTTTATTTGGTTATATACAATAATAAGATATAATTTGTATACTCATCTTCTGCATTGCCAGAGTTGTAAACTTATGTGCAGGTATTCAAAATCCTACTTTATAATCACTAATCAACAATAATCAATTTTCGAATAAATAAATTTGATAATTGTAAACTAATCAACCATTAATGAGAATAATTCTAACAATTGCACTGTCTATGAATTCAATTTGCATATCATTTACATATTGAGCATGGCCTTGCCAAATAAGGCATGAATTATGGTAAATCATGATGCCATCTCCTTATAAGGAATGTTCAATGGATGGATTATTTGGCAGCATACATTGCAGTTCTACTGAAATCTTACATCTTTTTGTGTATGAAACAAAATAAATGAAGAAATTGTTGTTCATCAAACTTTTGTAGATATACATTGATAAATGATTGGTTCTTTACAAAACTTGTATGCATGTTTATTGGTTATTCATCTTGAAAGGTACTGGAATTTGCATGACATTTACATGTCAATCCTTATATGGAATGTATATATCCAAATATGGACGTCTCAGTTGTATGCACCATATCTCAGATACATTGAAACTTCCATAATTTTGCTAGAATGATTGCCTCTGTGTACCGTACAAGTTGGTGATGGGACAGTTGATCAATTATCATTAAATGTCCAAAATAAAGAAAAAGCATTGGTGTTTGAATTTGTGAAATTATTGAATCTTCTGGCATACACTGTTTCAGGCACATATGTGATTATCTAGTGTGTGCTACAGATTTGGATTCAGAGAAAATAATGAAATGTCCTCTATTTTAAAGAATAATAATAATAATATACTCCATATATAGACTATACATTCCATATATGGGCAATACTTTCTATATATGGGTTATACATTCCAAATATGGTTTAGGCAACTGTCATGTGATAGTTCTTGATCATTCATTCTCAACTTACTCCGACTGTTATTATTTTTGTTTTATTTCAAGGTGATCTGCAAGCCAATCATAAAGGGGATACTAGAAGTGATACAAGTAGTATACGATCAACGGGATCTCATTTAAGTTACACACCAAATGACTATTCAACATTAGTTATAGAAACACTGGAAAATGGCCAAGTCAAGTGAGTATTTACTAACTGTTTTTCCATGATTGGAAAGATATCTGGTGACGATATAGCTTGTGTAACTTGAATAGTATCAATATAATCAATATAATGAGGGAATGTGATTTGAGAATTGTAGAAGTCAAGCAAATTGCAAGGTGATTACACAAACTTGCATTTTCAAAAATTTGGCTTTTGAATAGGGTTCATATATCTTGCTCATTATTGTTATGAAAACAAACTAAGTGTGCATTCTGTGATTTAATTAGTTAGAAATATATATTTAATTTATGCGCATAGAATAAAATGGCTTTAACACTCGCAAAGCGGGAGAGTTTAAACTATAGAGTGTAAATTAGTGAACTGACTTTACATGTACTGTTTTCGACATCGAAAATTTCTGCAAATTGAATCAATTTTTGGGAAAATAACTAAACTAATATTTTAATTTAAAATTATAGTTTCGATTATCAGTGACCCACATGATAATGTAAACATGACAGTTACCACTTTTATATCTGTTATGTGTTTTAGGCATTATTTAATACCAGCCACTCTTGCAAGGAATGGTAAATACGAAGTTCGTGGCACAAAACTACATGTGTTTAATGACCACTGTTTTGTTGCAACACATTTTACGAGTACTGTCTCCTGTGAAGCCTGTAATAAAACTTTATCAAGAAGAATGGGAAAACAGGGTTACCAGTGTCGAGGTAAGAATGGTGAACTTGGTTACCAGTGTTGAGGTGAGAGGGGAAAACTGGGTTACCAATGTTGAGGTGAGAAGGCAAAACAGGGTTACCAGTGTTTAGATGAGAGGGGAAAACTGGGTTACCAGTGTTGAGGTGAGAGGGGAAAACTGGGTTACCAATGTTGAGGTGAGAAGGCAAAACAGGGTTACCAGTGTTTAGATGAGAGGGGAAAACTGGGTTACCAGTGTTGAGGTGAGAGGGGAAAACTGGGTTACCAATGTTGAGGTGAGAAGGCAAAACAGGGTTACCAGTGTTTAGATGAGAGGGGAAAACTGGGTTACCAGTGTTGAGGTGAGAGGGGAAAACTGGGTTACCAATGTTGAGGTGAGAAGCCAAAACTGGGTTACCAGTGTTTAGATGAGAGGGGAAAACTGGGTAACCAGTGTTGAGGTGAGAGGGGAAAACTGGGTTACCAATGTTGAGGTGAGAAGAGAAAACTGGGTTACCAGTGTTTAGATGAGAGGAGAAAACTGGGTTACCAGTGTTGAGGTGAGAGGGGAAAACTTGGTTACCAGTGTTGAGGTGAGGGGGGAAAATTGGGTTACCAATGTTGAGGTGAGAAGGGTGAACTGGGTTACCAGTGTTGAGGTGAGAGGGGAAAACTGGGTTACCAGTGTTGAGGTGAGAGGGGAAAACTTGGTTACCAGTGTTGAGGTGAGAGGGGAAGACTGGGTCACCAGTGTTGAGGTGAGAGGGGAAAACTGGGTTACCAGTGTTGAGGTGAGAGGGGAAAACTGGGTTACCAATGTTGAGGTGAGAAGGGAAAACTGGGTTACCAATGTTGAGGTGAGAGGGGAAAACTGGGTTACCAGTGTTTAGATGAGAGGGGAAAACTGGGTTACCAGTGTTGAGGTGAGAGGGGAAAACTTGGTTACCAATGTTGAGGTGAGAGGGGAAAACTGGGTTACCAATGTTGAGGTGAGAAGGGTGAACTGGGTTACCAGTGTTGAGGTGAGAGGGGATAACTTGGTTACCAGTGTTGAGGTGAGAGGGGAAAACTGGGTTACCAGTGTTGAGGTGAGAGGGGAAAACTGGGTTACCAATGTTGAGGTGAGAGGGGAAAACTGGGTTACCAATGTTGAGGTGAGAGGGGAAAACTGGGTTACCAGTGTTGAGGTGAGAGGGGAAAACTGGGTTACCAGTGTTGAGGTGAGAGGGGAAAACTGGGTTACCAATGTTGAGGTGAGAGGGGAAAACTGGGTTACCAATGTTGAGGTGAGAGGGGAAAACTGGGTTACCAGTGTTTAGATGAGAGGGGAAAACTGGGTTACCAGTGTTGAAGTGAGAGGGGGAAACTGGGTTACCAATGTTGAGGTGAGAGGGGAAAACTGGATTACCAATGTTGAGGTGAGAGGGGAAAACTGGGTTACCAATGTTGAGGTGAGAGGGGAAAACTGGGTTACCAGTTTTTAGATGAGAGGGGAAAACTGGGTTACCAATGTTGAGGTGAGAGGGGAAAACTGGGTTACCAATGTTGAGGTGAGAGGGGAAAACTGGGTTACCAGTGTTTAGATGAGAGGGGAAAACTGGGTTACCAGTGTTGAGGTGAGAGGGGAAAACTGGGTTACCAGTGTTTAGATGAGAGGGGAAAACTGGGTTACCAGTGTTGAGGTGAGGGGGGAAAACTGGGTTACCAATGTTGAGATGAGAAGGGAAAACTGGGTTACCAGTTTTGAGGTGAGAGGGGTATACTGACTTATCAGTGTTGACGGGGGAAGTGTAAACTGGCTTACCAGTGTTGAGGGGAGAGGTGAAAACAGGATTACTTTCAACTGAAAGTGGAGTTAGCAAGATGGCATTTTGTGATTTTATTCGCTAGTCTGGATTTTCTCCATCCTGTTGTGTTTGCATTCAAAATTGTTCACAAAATTAACATTTGCTAGTTTAAAATCTATCTTGATTCAGTAATTTGGCAAATCAAATCATTTGATATTCACCAGGAATCCTCGCGCATCAAATTATGTATGAACTAACAATTATGAAAGAATGTTCACTGGGCTCTCTACTGTTGCCACAGAGTACATCTTGGTCCTCTACTTTTTCTCTTTCACATGGTCAGTTTTGTAATTATCTTGCTGACACAGCAGCACATTTGATAAATAGGTCATTTTCATCTAATAATGTGTGATACTACTAATAACTGTATTGATCATTTCTCATAAGAAATTAAAAAAAGGTTCACCCATCTCAGAAGTTGCCCCACATAGCAACCAAATATTTTATGTTACTCTTAGAACCTCAAAATCTGATTTGTTAATCCCATATGACAATTGGATATTATTTATTAATGTCCATAGCATAGCGAATGAAAGGAGATTATCTGTAAACCTTTTAGACCTAAGTATGTTGTTACTTCTCAGTGGACTTCTTTATATAATGTAACCATACACCTCAGTCTGTAAATTAATTTCCACAGATGATTTTCTGATTACATAATTTATAAATTTTTTTTTTTACAGATTGCAAAATAGTGGTGCATAAACATTGTCATTTTAAAGTTGAAGCACATTGTCCAAATAGTAGGGTTAGTTCAATGGAAATGTAAGTATGTAACGGTATTATCAGAATCCTCCTGCATGAATGCATACCTCTGCTGACTGAGATGGTGTATTAGGAGTTCCTTGAACAAGGTCTTCCTGTAGATGCAAATACTGTAGATGTCTTTATTTTAGCTAGGGTTTAATTTCACTGAAAATTTTGATTTGGCTATCTGTGTACAACATGGCATTGTTTTGTAATTGTAAATATAAATTCGTAGTGAAAATAAAGAGATCTACATGGGTGTGTTTTTGATGGTATATGTCACGGGGTAGGCTAGCATTCGACCACAAAGTGATAA